TTCCCATTTTATGCCGGTGGGGCAGATGCTTCCAGTTTACCTTAATCCTCTCCTTACTGACTTTAATAGGCTGTAAAGGAGTTTAAGAGAAACCTCAAAAGGGTTGCCAAGACTCGGCTGGTCCTCAGGTCCTGGGATTCCCTGAGGTCGCACATACACTTGCAGTGGTGAAGAGTTGACAATCACCCTTCCCTTCCCTCAAAGTGACAAGTGACACATGTGGTGCTGAGGACTGGAGGCAGTAGGACATCCTGGGTTACAGTGATCGGAGAATTTTCTGTGCAGCATGGTTGAGAAACCCCACAGGAAGGGTGGGTGGCCGTGAGCCCTGGGTTCAAGTCTGTGCTCCACCACTTGCTAGCTGAGAGACTGCTTAACTGTCTTGGGTTCCTGGTTTTGAACATGGGGAAATGGATAGCACCTATCGTGATGGTGTTAATGGTGCTTGCCACGCTGTCACTCTCGCCTTTACTAGTCCCTACTGGCCAAAGAACTCAGAGGAGTGAAGGCAGCCTCCCAGGAGCCCCAGGGCAGAGCTGGGAGGTGGAGTGAGGGGAGATGGGGAAGCATTTCGGCAAGCGGTGGACCCTCCTCCCACCTTGCACATGAGCTCGCTGGAACAGTCTGTCCCCAGAGCTTGCCTGGGCATTCGAGTCGCCTTGAGAACAGCTTCTCTGCAGACGAAGCATCCTCTGAAGGGCCCTGCTCAAAGCAGCAGCGGCCTCAGGAACCTTGGTGGCCAGACCCGCATGCTGGGGTGTGACCCCGGGGGAGGCCAGACCCAGACAGGCACAATTACTGTGTCTTCATGATTTTCCTTCTAAAATTATTCGAGGGGACTGCGGTTTTGCCTTGAGCAAAACCCCCTTAACAGCCGGGAATCTAAAAGCAAACAACATTATTTTATTAGGTTATCCCAGTAGATGAAAGCAGAGTGTTCCATTTGGACTCTTCTTAGAGTCAATTAATGCATTAGCTAAAAATAAACCCTTCTCAAAGAGAGTTCTCGTCTTCAGCATCTTCTAAGGCAAAGCTCGAGAAACCGAGAGAATGAGCTGTAAACAAGTAGGACATTCATTGCTAAGAAAAACTGTTGCAACAATACCTTTCAATGCTGATGCAAAACTTGTCTCAAGGATGTGATTTTTTAAAAGTTTTATTTTTAACAATGACCAGAGAATTTACATTTATCTTATAGTTTATGTGACGGCTTCTGACTCAAAGTAACCAGCTAATTAAATGTGATTTTAGATAGCGATAGTTGCTTTAATAGAAGATTTATTTATGGCAGTAAAGTAAGTGATCAACATGAGACTGACTGTTTTCAGTTATGGTTTCAACTCCAGTAGCAGAAAAGATCTGTGTAGTGGGAAAATGATAGCGATAGCTGATTGGGAAGAAAATGACATTTCTCAACAATTCATCTACTCAACCATTCATCCATCCCTCAATATGATAACAAACAATCTACTAAGAGTATCAGAGACACGATTCTACCTCACAGAGCCCAACATGGATGCGAGCAGAAGGCAGGGCTTTCTCTGTGGTCACCAGAGCATTGCGGCACGCCTTGGTGAGGCCTCTTCTCCAAAGGTAAAACAAAAACCTCCTGCTCCTTTGTGGGCAGCACCATTGTGGAAAGACCATTGTGCTGCCCTGACCAGGGAACATGTCTTTTCAGAATCTCCAGAAAAATCCACTTCCTGAAAGCATCTGATGACCCTGAATTTACAATGGGACTTTGCTCAGTGGCAAGAATACAACTTTATCCCCACAAGTATGGCTTCTGCGGCAGATGGCACACAGTGACTTTTAGGGACAGTTCTTCTAGAAGGTTGATAGATGGAGCCACAAGACAGGATACTAAGGACCCCTCCCTCTACCTGAAGAATTCCTAAAGGGTTGCGTTAGGTGCTGTGCTGTTAAGCATTTCAAGAAGATTGTCAAAATGTAAGCATACTGAGGTTTACATAGCCCACCCCGTTCAATAACATATAAGTCCAGCATTTTAAACACTATTTTCCAGTCGTGGGGAATAGTTTAACTAAGTAAAAGCTGAAGTCTGAAATGCAATAAGCACTTAAACGACTGCTTTCTGTGCCAGACTTCTAACCTCCCCCTGTGTGACCCTGGTGGCTGGGATTAAGGCAACCCCAGTGAGCTCAGCAGAGGCCGTGGGTTACGAGGTGTAGCGGGAACTTGGCGACAGTATGCCACCCAACCTCAAGGAGCCTGGCCACACTAGGAGCCCAAGAGCCAGTGTGCACTTTGTGGTCGGCTCCACATTTTTTCCCCTTTGGTAAAAAAAAAGCCACTACGAGAAAGTCAGACCCCTCCCACCACCCATACCACCCCCAAGAGTCACAGAGTCATGAAGTGGAGCTGAGACACTCCAGGCGGCCGGCAGGGGAGGTGGCCTGGGTAGGCAGACCCACAGGGGTCACCCCCTTCAGTCCCTCAGCCTTCTGGGGGGGAACCCACACCGACAGCCGCCACACCACTGCCAACGACGACGGATGTGCTATCACCTTGTAAGAATGGAAGCCCAGGCGAATGGTACAGTAGTTGTCATGGCATGGTGACAGTCACAGTCACGCCTGTCATAGTCACACCACCCACTGAGCAGAACTCACAGGAATGAGGACTCCCTCAAAGACCCCCAGTCATTGCCTGTCCCCAGAGTCTGCCAAGGATTGCAAGGAAACGCAGGCATGTGGCCCTGTCTCCACTGCCTTCTGGGACCTCTGGGTTTTGTTTGCTGGAAAGACCTGCCCTTGGCCTCTGGGAAATTGTAGTGAGGCCATGATGCCCTCTCTGCCCCATGTGTGGCCTCCAAAGAGGCAGGTGAGGTGACACATTCTATAGACTTCGGGGCTGTGTTCTCACCATGAAAATTTGGTCTTCTAGAAAATTTCAAGCAAGTGAAGAAAAAGAACGCAGAAGCTGGGCTCAGTGGCTCAGCCTGTAATCCCGTGCTTTGGGAGGCTGAGGTGAGTGGATTGCCTGAGCCTGCGGATTCGAGACCCGCCTGGGCAACTTGGTGAGAACTCATCTCTATAATAATAATAATAAAAATCAGCCAGGCGTGGTAGCGCACACCTGTAGTTCCAGCTACTTGGAAGGCTGAGGCAGAAGGATCATCGGAGCCCAGCAGGTCGAGGCTGCGGTGGCCGGGAGCGTGCCACTGCACTCCAGTCTGGGCGACAGAGTGAGACTCCAACTCAAAAAAAAGAAAAAAAAAAGAAAAAGAAGGCTGAGACTCAGGGATTCTGCTCTGCATTCAAAAGACCAGAGCTGGTGTGCTGCTTTGCTATCCTAACACCATCCACAACCCTGAGACATGTCTGGTGTTCTGTGGATGGTCCTTGTGTAGCTATTTATCACTTATCATACAGAACTGGGGGAGGGGTTCCCCCTTGGTTTTGTCAAGTGGGTATGGAAGAAGCTATGCATGTATTTGTCCTGGTGAAGGTGACATAGCTTTTCCTCAAAAAAGAAAACATCAGACACTTGTGAATGGTGTTGCCTCTCCTGTGGCAAGTTGTGACTTCGAATGTCAGCCTGTTGGCCTACGGAGAGATCTGAAAATGGCTGTCTGCTATGGAGGGAGATGGGAATATTCACATGGACCGCAACAGAGCTACCAGTGGCCCCTATGGCTGCTTCCCCAAGCCATGATTGTGCTAGCCAGAGATTAGCAAATGTTAGATACAGTGGAGTGCAGTTTTGTTATGAGCAAGAGCAAGATTAGCTTAGAAAATGCAATTTCCATTCACACCAATTTTCATGTCTAACTTTGATTGAAACTTTATATGACTTTAATCATCATGACAAGAAACCACCAAAAGTGCTGGAAATGAGTTTGCTAGTTCTGTGCTTACCTAGGGTTAAAATGTAGTTTCTCAAACTCACTCTGAACCATGAAAATGAGGGAACACATTACCTTGAAGGATCATGAGGAGTATGAATAATATGAATTGTATGAATAAAATTCCCCTCAAAACCCAACTTAGAGCCCAGTACTGGCAATCACTGAGCCACTTGTTGCACAACATACATAAGAGCAAGCAACTCAATAGCTTTAAAAATAGTTTATTTTCCACCTTCACAAACACACGAGCCTCTGACCGCTGGGAAGGCACCATGAATTAAATAAAAATATTAGGATATATTTGTCTTACATGATTCAAGATCGAGTGGATTTTCAAAGCAAATGGGAGCCAATTATGGGTTAGGGTTGGGCCTGGGGCAGGAGCAGGAATAGGGTGTGTGCATTTTTCTACAGTGTTGACTGGGTGGGCAGGAATCAGTATGTGAGCATCACCCAAGCAGTGACCCAAGTCAACACTTCCAGGAGAGGGGCCACGTTTCAGCTTCTCTGTCTAGGTCATAAAACGCCGAAAGTACTTCGCTAAAGTGCAAAGACGTTTCCCTAGTTGTCTTGGTACCAGTAACAGAATCTGATTACTAAACATCGCCAACGTGGTTTTCATTACAAGGAAACGTGGTTCACATAAAGCTTCATAATATAAGCCAGGGATGGAATTCATGCGCTTTGTATTTGAAACCAGGCTGGCTACTTTTGATTTTGTTTCCCCCTTTTTCTTTTTTTTCTGTTTTTCTAAGTACGTACCTAGTGTCTCCCCAGTTGAAGCACTTTGCTGCAAGCACCATGACTGCTTCTCAATAGCCTCTTGGCGATGACACTCCTAGTCCAGTGAGGTAAACCCCAGTTTCTATTCTGATTTGCTTCCCTCCCAATCGTGCTAGTGTTGACCAGATCCCAACAACTGTCAGATACAAACACAGGTTTCCGGGCAGAGTCCCAAGGGATAATTATGAATCATTTCATGATGATCTGGTTAAGAAAACACATAGAAATGAATGATTTCATGTTATAAAATGCCCCGACTTGAATTTCAACAAAAGCCAGTCGTGAGTAGGGCGCAGGGGTGCTCTCTGCAGCCCTGGCTGACAGCAACCATGTCCGACGGGTCCTCCTACGGGCCCTCGCCGACTGCCTGTGAGGTAGACGCCGACGACTTGAAGAGAGGTAGGTAGAGTCCAAATTTGTTTTCGATCCCTGCAAATGTGGCGACCGCCAGTCTGTATCCGCCGATGTGGTCAGGATTTGGGGCAGGGAGGGCAATCCTGGACTTGGGAACTGGCTCCGATCCCAGGGGTTTTCTACAAGAAAACAGCAAGACTCTGAGTTGTTTTATTGTTTTTTTGGTGTTTTTTCTTTAACTCGGTAAAAATAACATTCAAAACTGCCAAAATATGCATATAAAGGAGTTGCTGAGCACCAGTCAGTGTACATTTCCCACAGGATTTCCACACTTCCCTGACTCTCTCCCAGTTGACCCAGGGACTGGACTGATGTCCCTTTCTGAAGGACAACAGAGCATCAAAAGCAGTTGATCTGGTGCAACACTTACACTCCGCCAAAGTCAATGTAGAACCACCGCTGTAGCAACTCGTAAGTCAACAGGGTGACGCCGAACTGGGGTGAGGACCGGAATACACGCGCTGTAAGAAAACGGAAAGCAGGAGAGTCATTCGGTTTTTTAAAAAGATTTGCCTGATACCAAGGGGCAGTTAAGAAGGAATCACTCCCTACCGCCAGCTCCTTTCCAGAGTGCTCTGGGGCCTTCTTCCCGCAGGATCTTGCGAAAGCAGTCCAGCACACCGCTGTAAGTTGTCTGGCCCGCGCGGGCGGCCACCTGCAGTCTCGTCTTGATAACATCAGCAGGGGTCACTAAGGATGCAGCAGGCATGCCTGCAGGAGACAACACCACCTCAGCTCACGTACTCGCTATATAAAAATCACTGTGCTCTGAGCTGCTGTCTGGAAGGACAGTGAGGAACCCCACATGCTCAAATGCCCGTTTCACTGTCCCCAGGGGAGCACAGCACGCCTCTCCTGTCCAGGGACACTGCCCTGCATGCCTCCCTCCTGCACTCATTCCCTCTCCCAAACCACTCAGCCTGCACCTCTCGCATTTCATTCTTAGTTTGGGGAATTATTTATCAATAAGAGTACTTTCAGTGGTGAGTACAAATGAAGCAAGTGGTCTTTTTTTTGGCTTTCCTGTTGAAATAAAAAACTTGGAAAGCTATTAGGTCCGATGTTCAGAGGCGAAGCTTGTTACATACTTCCTGGGAACGGCACTCCATGGCCAGGCACACACAGGGGGTGCCTTCCCTCACACTCACCAGCCCCGCCCTCCAAACCCCAGCTCCTCAGTTACACCAGAAAAAGCCTCCACTGAGGGCTAAGTAAACACTGTGGGAGGAAGAGGGGCAGGGGGAGGGAAGACCCCGCAGATAACACTGGAGGATTCCTGCTTCCTAGGACTGGCCTCGCCAGAAAAACACTGGACAGAAAGCTTGAAGTTTATCCTGGCTGATAATCAATGGAAAAGGGGCAGCAGCAACAGAAAACCCTCCCAAAATGACCGCGGGGACATCTGTCTACTGTCACTTTATTCAAAATGGGGCAGCGCATGTTTAGACTTTGTAAAAGCGAGACTGTGCTCAGAAGACAGTGTCTCTTACGGTTTTATTACTTTTCCATTATGAACCTCTTCCAAACCAAACTGGTCAAATGCAGATGCAGACATCTCCTTTGCTTTTTTTAAGGCTTAATAATTCTGTAAGAATTTCTGTCCAAACCAACATGGTCTGGCTCGGAACTCCATCTCATCCTTCTAACAGACAGCTTTAAAGCTGCAGAGTGTGTGAATGTGCGTGGGTCTGGGCAAATCTGCACACATACCTACCGTTACAGAACTGAAGCATACCTCCTCCTCCTCCATCCTCACCTCACCCTTCCAACATTCATCTTTAGTAACAGTTTTTATACAGTGCACCACAACTTTGCATGTGAAAAGCTCACTTGACATCCGATGCCTCACTGGATAAGTCGCCGAATTTCCCAGTAGTTTGAAGGAATTATTTTAACTTCCAGCCAGGAATTTATCCTCCAGCTTAGTGGAAGGAAACATTGAGAATGCTTAGAAACGGACTGTGTTCACACCACTGACTTTGTTGCACTGCCTGGTTTAAAGAGTTTAGCCAGGCTGTCTGCTTTAGATGTGCAATAAAACCCTTGCAATGGTAGGAGGCGTGTCAGAGGGGCCTGGGAAAGACACACGAACAACTCAGGGCAAAATGTTCCCTCCAGCTCAAGTTGTTTCATAAACCGATCCTTGTTATGAAGAGAAAGAAGTCCGACGGGGAGAGGGAGCAGGAACGAAGACACTGATGGCGGAATAAAAGATGTCAAAGAAGTGTATTTGCTGCTTACTAAGGGGTCTGGAAAACTGATGGGGAGTGGGGGATGCCGGGATTGCTGGCAACCAGAACCCACTTCTGTCACTTCTGTTCCAGCTCCCATCTCTGCCACACACACTCTGCAGGCCTAGGAGGATGCGTGACAGTCTCTGTGGACCGGGGAGTTGCAAAAGCCTAGGGGGACGTGTTGCCATCTCTGTGGACAGGGGAGTTGTGCAGGCTCAGGGGGACATACGACCATCTCTGTGGACAGGGCAGTTGTGCCTACAGAGACATGTGGCCATCTCTGTGAACACGTGATTTGTTAAGTGGACCTGCATCAGGCTTCTCCCAGGGAAAGCTGGGAAACAGCAGACACTGGGACAGCCTGTTCCCTCAGAACTGGTGGTCTTGGGGGCAGGGTTGGCAGAGACTCTGGTGTCTCCTGCTTTCCAAAAGGCTAAGACAGTGTCGACCAAGGGGACTGTGTCTTCTCTGCTCCTGAAAATGGGAAGCAAGGAAGATGGCAGGGGAGGCTCCATCTAGGTCTTTCAGCAGGAAGGGGACCATAGCCTCTGGTGCTTCGGTGATGGGACACTGTAGAGCCCAGGCCCACCACTGCTTCTGCAACAGAACAATTGGGGGTGCTTCTCAACCAAGAAAAAGTGCCTCATCTCCAAGGGTGCCCAGCAGTTAGAGGCTAGAAAACCATGTACAACAGAAAGAAATCATGATTGGAAAGCTCTCCGCTGCGGTCATGAGTCCTCCAGTTACCATCAATGTCCCATCATGCTTCTCTGCATATTGGACACAAGGCTGAGTATCTATTTATTTTGGATCAGGGCTAAGAGTTTTCCAAGTCCCCTTTGCTGTATCCTTATCTGTATTATCTATAGCAGTGTGAACAAGCTTCTCATTGGGTAGGGAAAACAGCACATTTTCTTCATACTTTTAAGCTGAGATTTTAGAAGACAAATATTACATGGATACTACACAGAAACTGGATGACCATGTCTTCACAGCAAATTTTATCAAAGTGCTGTTGGGAAGCCCTAGAGACATTTAGCCTGACATGAATATAGCTACACTTGCTCACTGTTGGTATCTGCCTGGTACACATCCTTCGGTCTTTCCATGTCTCTGTGTTCTGAGACCCCAGATGACTAGGTTTTTTTTCAAAACTCCCTTCCCAAATGATTGTCTTGACAAGGGGCGCCAACTCTGTCCCCAGCCATGTGGTCCAGACTTACTCCTGCGTTTACACTATTGTGTCTGCCTTCTCTGCTTCTAGCCATTTACCCTTCCATCTCTTCCCTTTCCTGATTAAATTTAGGGGGTACCCAAAAAACCTATATGCATTTCAAGTATGGCGTTCACTCAAAAGATGACATTAATCAAATGAATTGCTAGATCAACATGCAACAGGCAGGACAGTCAAAGAAAGTGGCAGAAGCACAGTTGAGGGAACGTCATACTACACATGGCCACCGTAATTCAATTCAACTTCGAAAAATCAAGCATGGATAACATCTCTTAAAATGTATACATTTTTTGGCACCCCCATACATCTGTGTGTCACATGCATTTGTTATACAGGTGAGCACTTACAACATAGACAGTTAGCATTTACGGCCTCCAGCGAGGAGAAGACTTGGTACTGGTCACAGTGGTCCTTGCATCCCCGTTTGCCTCCCAACACCTGCCCTTCTTATAGAGGTGTGAGTAGGAATGGAGGCTGCCCCCAGGCTGACTGCATCTGCTGTCTCAGGCATCCCACCCTCTCCCATTCTTCACGTAAATTCCCATTTGTTTCCTAAAAGGTCTGCAAGGGGAAACCCTGAGTCCTTGCATAGGAAGGATGCACGTTTGTTGCCCTCCCTGCTGACGGCTGCAGGCCGGGAGCACGGTCACGGGCATCGGTCATGGCATTTGCTCCTTGGTGTTGTGAAGGCACTGGCGTCGCAGGTGAGAAGGTGAACAGTCGACCTCCACAACTGTGTTTTCTGGCCTCCTCTTCTACTTCCTGGGGGTCTCCTACAATGCAGACATCAGACCCATCCTGTGTGTCATCCCTTTCCACCTCTAGTGCTGCTCTACACATTCCGGAGTTTTTTCATGACTTTATTTCCCAGATATCTAAGTTGGTCTTCAAGCTCCTCCATTCCTTCATTCATAACTATCTCTGGATTTCTCGTCTTGGCAATCCCGTGTTAATTTCCAAGGAGGCCAGTTCTTCCTTCCAGATCTCTCTGAGGACACCAGTTACAGTTCTAAGAAGTTCCCTAGACTTCTCCTGAGAGACCCAAGAGATTCAAAAAACTCTAAGAGAACTATTACTATATGAATTCCTACCCCACGTTCACTGTATTTGTTTACAGTGTTTGTTCTTAGAACTTTGTTAAGTTTAATTTTTGTTTGTCTCATAAAATAACTGATTGCTTCCACAACTGCTGCTAGCAGTGTGTGAATGTTAAGCAATAAGCCCCTCCCGGACATTCCTTTGCTTAGATAACAGTAGACTGGTGGCACCAGCCCCCCCCCCCCCCCCCCGTAGGTTCTGCGTTGTTTAACCTTCTGCCTGCTTGCTAAACCTAGCTTATCTGACATCCTACCCTGCCTATTTAGCAGCTCCCCGTCAATCACAGGTAGCTGAGCAGACCAGACCAATCCCTAGTGCCCCCGTACCCATTAGGAGAAATTACCCAATCATGTAAAAACAAGTTTAAAGTTCTTTCCCCTCCCTCTGTAATTGTGCATAAAAACTGCTCGCCATACTGGATCTGAGCTCTCGTCCCTGAAGCCACAGCAGCTTCATTCGTGAGCCCAGACTCGAGCCTGAATAAAGACCCTTGTGTTTTTGCATCAGAGCTGGCTCTTTGGTGGTCTCTCGGATTTTGAATTTTGGGTTTAACACTCCCTAGACTGCCTGTGTTCTCTGTATTTCTTCTGGTCCCCTGGCTTATGGTTCCTTCACATCTGAGGACCTCTGGCTGTTTACTGATGCTCAAGTTCAAAGGACAGGCTGATTGTGTATCATACTTGGATGTGGGGCGGGGGTGGCTTCTATCACACTCTAGGTCTGCTTGGCCCACAGTCTCTCTCCTGAATGGGATGGCCATCTACGGGCTTTGTGAAATGGGTGAAGCCTATTACGTGAGTGAAAGGGGCTACAGCAGGCTGGCGGGTGAGGCCTTCCAAGTTGCTGGTGTGGAAGCTTCCCCCTACAGGGGGAGGGGCTAAGTTATCTGCCTCTGGGGAAGCACTGCCTTTAGTGCAGCAGTTTCCAACCTTTTTGGCATCAGGGACTGGTTTCGTGGAAGACACACTCCCACAGGGGGGTGGGATCATCAGGCATTAGAGTCTCATAAGGAGCTGCAACCTAGATCCCTCACATGAGCAGTTCACAAAAGGGTCTGTGCTCCTATGAGAATCTAATGCCACACCTGATCTGACAGAAAACAGAGTTCCACTCCCCGCCACTCACCTCGTGCTGTGTGGCTGGTTCCTAACAGTCCTTGGATGTGTCCCCGGGGTGGGAACCCTGCCTCAGTGCATCTTCTCTCATCTGTGGTGAAGGCCTGAAGTCCCCTCACAGCCTGCCCTAGTGCCTTCCCAGGTCCCTACATGTGTCCCCACCAGGCAGTCCCTTTCTCCAAGGCACACTCTGAAGCCTTTATCCTGGACACACCCTGAAGCTGTCCATGGAAAGTCAGTAAACTGCCAGGGCCACCGGACAACACAGGGGCCCAGCCCCCTGACGATCCACCCCAAAGCTTCCACCTCCACCCAGGCATCCTGCCCACCCAGAGGTTAACACTCTGGGTCTGCGCCTGCGTTAGAAGGAGCTCTTCCTGCCAGTGCTGGGCTGCGGTGCCTTTCATTTGGTTTCAGAGTCCATGTGGCTGTTTCCTCTCTGCTGAGGGCTGGGGCTAACACTTTCTAGTGCCAACAAGGAATTTAAAACATGCATTTTTCTGGCATCTTAAGATATTTGAGGGAGGAGAGATGGATGGATATACTCAGTCCATTCGCTTGATCCAGCTTCCCCATTACTTTTTTCTTAAGGATCTAAGAATTGCTTTTAGATTATCTTAAGCTGTTTTTTTTTGGAGTCAGGATCTTACTCTGTCACCCAGGTTGGAGTGGAATGGTACAATCACGGTTTTCACAGCCTTTACCTGCTGGGATCAGGTGATCTTTCCACCTCAGCCTCCCAAGTAGCTGGGACTACAGGTGGACATCACCATGCCCAGCCAATTTTTAGATTTATTGTAGAGATGAGGACTTGCCATGTTGCCGAGGTTGGTCTTAAACTCTTGAGCTCAGGCAATACGCTCACCATTGCCTCCCAAAGTTCTGAGATGACAGGCGTGAGCCACTGCACCCAGTCATGTCTCAAGCTTTATGTCCACACACAGATTTGTACCAATAGGACTTCTCAGCGCACACACCTTCTGATACATTTGTGAAAACACCATGAGGAGTCACACACACATGATGCTGCTATTTCTGTGTGCTAAGCAGCTTTGGAAGAGATTCCTGAGTTACAGCGAAATCTCACGTCCGCTGACTCAAAGGCAAGAGCGTCATGACAGCTTATAGCTCCCGCATGTCGTTACTCTGATGATAAAGGTCAGTCGGCATGACCGACCACTCCATGGAGTTTGAGAAATAGCATATCTCTTTGATCGGACATTACCCATAAACTGTATTGAAATGCCCTTCACCAGCTAAAAAACACCATGTTAATTGCAGGAAATTAGAACTTGGTTTCTTAATTTTGGGTTCACAGCTTCAACCCTCACCTTTGGACAAAGTACTCTGGCCAATGAACATCAATCCAGATATCGGTTAGTCTTGCTCTATCCTGTGAAGTAATGGAGTCAACGCTGCAGTATTTAAAGATACTCCCCGCTTATAACTAGATACAGACATCAAAAAAAAGGTCAGTATTCTCTAGGTTGATATACTGATAATCATATCTGTTAAAAAGTGGCATATTACTAAAAAGAAAAATCTAACTTCAAGACTAAAGTTTTTGAGAAAAAGTGAGATAGTACTTAATGAGTAATTGAAATTATTATCGAAATGTGGAAATTACCATCGAAAATTAAGAAACCAAGTTCTAATTTCCTGCAATTAACAATGGTCATATTCACTCCATCACAGATCCATGTTACTTATCAAGCGCTGTTCAATAAATAGTACAAGAGGCATGGAACGGATAAAAACAGTCATGAGAAATTTCTGTTATGTAATAAGCCAGTGGCCAACAGTTATTCTCTGCAGTTGCCTGAAGCTCCTTAAGAAAGGAGGATGTTGGCCGGGCTTGGTGGCTCAGCCTATAATCCCAGCACTTTGGGAGGCCAAGGTGAGTGGATTGTCTAAGCCCATGGGTTCAGGACTCACTCAGGCAACGTGGCGAGACCTCATCTCTACAATAAATAAAGAAAAAAAATTAGCCGGGCGTGGTAGCGCATGCCTGTAGTTCCAGCTACTTGGAAAGCTGAGGTGGAAGAATCGCCAGAGCCCAGCAGGTCGAGGCCCAGCAGATCCAGGGGAAACTGCTCTGGGCACGCGTCTAGTCCAAGAGAAGTTGAAGACTGTATGTTTATGGTATGAGGAAAACCAGGCTCAGGTGAGAGTCTCAGGCCTTGATTTGGCTCTGCTACTTGTTTTCTAACTTCACACCTGATTTTTGGGGTAATTAACAGACAGAGTCTCTGGAATTTGATATAATACAGGCTAGCACTTATTGAGTGCTTACTACATGCTAGGCACCACACTAAGTCTGTCACATGGTGTTCTCATTTGAGTGTCACAACCACACCCTGAGTAGGTCAGTTATGATCTTGCAGCTGAGGAAACCAAGGCTTAGGAAGTAACTGGCCCAAGGTCACATGCCTATGAGGAGTACTTAGCTCTTCCCATCTGGCTTTACCTTAGTTCAAGGAATTTGAAATAAATTATAACCTTGCAGTTCAAAGCTCGCTCCTATGCACACGTATGAGAAATGACTTATACAGAGCACAGTGTCAATGGCTAAATTGGAATTAAAATGGGAATTCTGTGCTCTGGGCTTGATGTCAGGATTCCTTGTGGCAGGTACAGTTCCTTGCTACTTATACAACCAAGGTCCTGAGCCTTCTGGAAACCACTTTGCCTCATATACCCATGTAATTGTCTTTGGAGAGAAGGAATTCACTAAGAATTACAGAGGAGTTCCAGAGGGTCCTGCTTTCAGGGGCTCCAGGTTGCAGTCGGGGTGGGCGGATGTGGTCCTGTTACCAAATGACTTCTCAGAGTGGGGAACTGTTCTCTTGCCATGTTTGGGAACAGCATGAAGACTGGCCACGTATCTCATAAGAACAACACTTTACCAAAAATGCCTGGGCCCAGGCCTCCTGCACTGCCTTGGGACTGTTCATTCACTGAAAATTTGAGACCACCCAGACTGCTAACCCAGACTGCTCCTGCCTTTGGGGTCTCTGGACATGAAGACGCATCAAAGAACAAACTGATCTATTGATATTTTCAACAGAGCACTGAAAAAGAGAGAACCATTCTTTCCATCATTGATTTGATGACTGCAATGCCCTACTACCTTACCCAGGGAGGAAACAGGGGGTTCTAACAGGCCCAGCTTGTAGGACACGTCTTTTATCTAAATGATAATAACCCTTGTTTAACTTTAGGATAAGCTTTTATGCACTGTTCTACTTAGATACCTCTATGGTGCAAGTATTCACATTTTTAAAAACTTCTGGCTGCATGGCTGTCATTCTTCTGTGACAAAGTGAGAATATGACCTGATAAAGAACCTGACCTTGAACCTGACAGTATCACAGAAGGAACCTGTACTTATGGAGTCTTCATTTCCCTAGACCTGAGACATCAAGGTTGCCAAATTATCTTATCTGCCAAAATTGAGGCTAACTTCCTTCTCTTTCTTTTCAATAGCGCTTCAAAGCAAGCCATGACCAGCTCACATGGAAACTGTCAGTGACTGGCAGCAAAATGTCCCAGGGTAACAGCATGTAGTTGGGGAGGGGTCAGGACAGTTGGGGGGCAGCAGGAACCCACAGGGACACTCACCAGCAATGGCGCCTGCCAGGAGCAGGCTTCCGGGGCTGATCTGGCCGTCCTCGTTGGCAAAGGATGCTTTCACATGGGCATAGCACGGGAAGTAGATGGCTGAGAAGGGAATGTCCCGCAGGAAGCAAGCCTTGGCACCCTGCATGTGTGCAGAGAGAGAGAGAGACCATGTGAGACAGGAGGTCAGGCTGCCCCGGAACTCACCCCAGGACAAAATGGAGAGGACTGGATCTGAACTCACAAGTGGAGAACAGAGGGAAACAACCCAAATCCTGTGAGAAATACATCTGAATTTTGCTTTTAAAATGAAGACTGGTTCCATTGTGTGGTGTGAAGAAGCAGGACAAGGGAGGTGGTTCTCATTTATTCCAGTCCTAAAATTTCTTTTTTTTTTTGAGTTGGAGTCTCACTCTGTCGCACAGACTAGAGTGCAGTGGCCGCTCCCGGTCACCGCAGCCTCGACCTGCTGGGCTCCGGCGATCCTTCCGCCTCAGCCTTCCAAGTAGCTGGAACTACAGGTGTGCGCTACCACACCCTGCTAATTTTTGATTTATTGTAGAGATGAGGTCTCGCCAAGTTGCCCAGGCGGGTCTCGAACCCACGGGCTCAGGCAATTCACTCACCTCAGCCTCCCAAGGCATGGGATTACAGGCTGAGCCACCGAGCCCGGCTCTAAAATTTCAATTAAAACCTTTCTGATAGCCAGGCATGGTGGCACATGCCTGTAGTTCCAGCTACTTGGAAGGCTGAGGCAGAAGGATCGCCTGAGCCAGCAGGTCGAGGTTATAGTGGCCATGAGCGTGCTGCTGCATTCCAGCCTGGGCAACAGTGAGTGAGACTCCAACTCAAAAACAAACAAACAAACAAACAAAAACCAAGCACAATAACCCACTCTTAGGTACTTTAAAGTCAGACATTAAGAAGTCAGGGCCAGCCTTGGTGGTTCAGCCTATAATCCCAGTGCTTTGGAAGTCTGAGGTGGGTGGATTGCCTGAATCTGTGGATTGGAGACAAGACCAGGCATTTGGTGAGACCTCGTCTCTACAATAAATCAAAAATTAGGCTGGTGTGGTAGCACGCACCTGTAGTTCTGGCTACCTGGAAGGTTGAGGTGGAAGAATCACCAGAGCCCAGCAGGTTGATGCTGGGGTGGCTGTGAGTGTGCCACTGCACTCTAGCCTGGGCGAGAGTGAGAGTCCAAGTTAAAAAAAAAGAAGTCAGACATGCCAGGAGCAATGGCTCGTGCTTGTCATCCCAGCACTTTGGGAGGCAGAGGTAAGAGGATTGTCTGAACCCAGGGGGTTCAAGACCAGCCTGGGCAACTTGAAAAAACCTTGTCTCTACAATAAATCAAAAAATTAGTGGGGCGTGGTGGTATGTGCCTGTAGTTACAGTTACTTGGAAGGATGAGGCGGAAGGATCCCCTGAGCCCCACAGGTCAAGGCTGTGGTGGCTGTGAGAGTGCTCCTACACTCTAGCCTGGGCGACAAAGTGAGATTCCAACTCAAAAAAACATAAAACAGAAACACCTTTCAGGGACCTGCCTGTGGCACCTGTCCAATCCCGGCCAGTGGTGGTCCCTGGAGTCTCAAAGAAGAACTGTTTTCTGATCTCAGTGGAAGATGGACACAGTTCCCAAGATGCCTGTTCATCCACTCAGAAGTAGACACATTATACAAATGGAGGGAATATGGGTTTGTTTTGTGTATTGTTTGAGCTTTTTCCCAGTAAAAAGTTACACATATGTAAAAAATTATATATATATTCAGAAGATTCATGAAGCCCCAAGTGTGCTCACATACTTACCCACTGCCTAGCATTTATATTGACAAATGCCTGCTCTAAAGTCTGAAAATACCCACAAGAGTTCTGGTACACCCTGGAGCTGTGTGAACAGTAACAAGGTCCTGGGGCTAAGTGTCCCCAGATGATGCCTGGTGCCAACACAGTGCCACACAGAGGCCCCAAGAACTGAGGCGTGCCCAGAAATGTGGTCTGTTACAAAGAAAACCACAACACAGATGCTGCTTTTTGGGTAGGCTGATGGGACGGACATTGCTTCTTTTCAGCACCTAATAATCTCATGCCATTTCTTCCACAGATTTCTCTGTCGAACACAGAGATTCTCAAAAGAAAACAAAGACTCCCTGCAGTCACAGATGTGGCCACACCCAGTGACATTCAGTGAGGTCTCCCAATGCTGGGCCCTGGTACTTCTGATTGACACTCTCATGCATCCACATCTTCAGCACGACACATCTGTTGCTGGAGCCTTTGCTGTTTGATGCCCACACTCCATCATGCCTCTGATCAAGCCTGCCTGCAGGTAGTAAAATCTTTGGTCTTTCATGAGCTGCCGGTAACCCAGGTTTGCTAGAATAATTAGCTGCCTTCCGCAGGTAACACAAGCAGGACTTTGGGGTTAATCCTAATCAGTCTTTTCCTAGTTTGGCTCAGTCACCCAACCGTGTGGAATTTAGAGCCTGTCATGCTGGCTCCTCCTCGGCTAAGTTACCCGTGGATGTGGTGAGCGTGCTTGTATTCCCTTTGCTTGCAGGTACGCAGAGGTCAGGTTCACATCACACACTGCCTATCAGCCTACGCTTCTGCATCTTGTCCATTACACTTTCAGCATCTCATTAAAACTAGGAACCGGGCCCGGTGTGGTGGCTCACACCTGTCATTCCAGCCCTTTAAGAGGCCAAGGGGGGAGGATTGCCTAAGCCCAAGAGTTTGATACCAGCCTGAGCAACATAGTGAGACTCACCTCTACAAAAACATTAAAAAACTAGCTGGTTGTGGTGGCATGTGCCTGTCGACCCAGCTAATTGGGAGGCTGAGGTGAAAGGATTGTCTGAGGCCAGGAACCTACAGTGAGCTGTGATTATGCCACTGCCCTCCAGCCTGGGCAACAGAATGAGACTGTGACAGAAAGAAAAGAAAGGGAGAGAGAGAGAGAGAGAGAGAGAGAAAGAAAGAAGGAAGGAAAGAAAGAAGGAAGGAAAGAAAGAATGAAGGAAGGAAGGAGAAAGAGAGAGAAAAAAGAGGAAAGAAAGAAAGAAAGAAAGAAAGAAAGAAAGAAAGAAAGAAAGAAAGAAAGAAAGAAAGAAAGAAAGAAAAAGAAAGGAGATGAAAAAGTTGAACAAAAATCAAAAGATGGGGCTAGCGAGGAGGCCAGGGAAGAGGAGATATCCCTCAGGGACATGCAGCTCCCTGAAAATCCTTTTCTGATGCAAATCTTTGGAATGATCCAAACGCTCAGGGTTCTAGGAGTTTTCTTCCATTTACCCCAGCTTTTTCACGGGGTGGGGGGAGGGAGGGCAGCCTACTGTCGCTATCCATGTGTCGCACCAACTCCTCCCTTAGAACTGGCTTCTAAAGATGCTACAATTCAGGCAGTCACTGTGGAAGAGCAGTATTACTATCTTCCAGCCTGTTTTCCCTTCTTGCCTCCAAGCCATCCTGTACATTCTGCTAGCTATCTATCCATATGTATACTTGGCCCAGAAGACAGTCAAATTAGACATCAAAAATTACCTCAAATGAGGCTCATTTAAATCTTCACATCTGGCTTTCTCAATTTAGTACAAAAGTCGCCATATTACTGACTTCCTGAACAACTCCCCTGGAGAACTTTCTAGGGCCAGTGCGATTCTCATTCCCACCATTGTTGCTTTTTTACCCTACCTGCTGGATATAGCCCATAAATAACATAGTATCTGCTTTGGCCTGTATCCACACATCCAGTGTTTGCAGCTAGGGCTCCACTTCAGTCTGTGTTATCGTTTTCTTGCTGGCAATATTTTCTCTTTTAAGTTTTCTCTCTGATTATAAAATATTAAGTGCTTATCACAGAACATGAAGAAAAATATTGCAAATTTAATTTTCACCAGCCAGAGATGACCACAACATATACTGTAAATGTACTGGGACATTTCTGGCAACAAAAATACCAGCACTCATTCTGTAGATGAGACCATGCCTGAGTGGTTCTGGGTATGCCTTTTCTTTAACTTAAAGTTGCAGTGTACAGATTTGTTTGTGGCCATGTAAGACCTGCTACCTCCTTCATTCCTTAGCCCTGTTCCTAAGTTTCCTCTCTGCTTATTGTTTCCAAACGACTGCCACCTGGTCCTGGTGTCCTGAGGATGAGCCACAACAGTTTCCCTCCTGTCAAGCTTTGTGAGGACTTGGCTCCCCAGTGCGCTCTCCCTGGTCTGCCAGACTTCTCAGGCAGAGCTACTCAATGGCCCATTCATCGGATCGATCAAGGGCTGCCTGTCACTCGGCATCTTCTTTGATGACTGCTGAGCTGGGACCGCCAACCTCCTTGTTCATTTGGGTCCCACATACCAGCCTTCCCACCGAGGACTGTTCTTCACTGGAGTGGATTCCACCTGGCTCCACGCTGTCTACACTTCCTCAACACTGTTCCCAGCATTCTTCAGGTCTTCCATCTGCCTCAGCAGTGTTGCCTAACCCAGCTTGTAAGCCACGGGGCCAAAAACCATTGTCTGATTTAATTGACAAAACACTCAGCAAAATCTCTGGCTGTCAGTGGGGCCTAAGACACGTTCCCAGAGACACGGAGTTTGCTTTGCCAATTCTCATAGAAAACTCACACCTAAAAGCAGCAACATGAAGCACTGGGATAGGTTGTCAGATTTCCATAAGGATATTAACCATTTCTTGGAAAAACAGATTTGAAACGAAAACCAAGCTTTTAGCTTTTCTTTTTTAAAAAATTTTGATTTAATTTAATTTCAATGACAGTATATACAAGGTATCATATGAAGACATTATTGTCTTATTTTTGGAAAAATTGAGCAATGAGGAGAAAAATAAATACAAATACAAAAATAGTTATGTTTAGTATATTCGTTTCCTTGAACAGTCACAGTAATTACCATGAACATATAGCTTAAAATGACAGAAATTAATTGTCTAACAATTCTGGAGGATAGTAGTTAAAAAAGAAAAAGCATCCTGGCAGACGTAATAGTTAATGTCAGGGCATTCTAGAATTAGATGGACTCTTAATCCAGTATGCCTGATATTCAGTTAAGAAGACAGCCATAAGAAGACAAGGAGACTCAGGGTGACTTTTATATGAAATTGGAAGCATAAAATGAAGTTATT